GTCCAAAAGAAAGCTAGAACAACTAAGGTAAAATTCTGGTCTCGGTTGTTTGTAGTTAGTTGGTGTTAAATTAAAGCATGGCATACGGCAGTTGTGGTTCTGTCACAGTTACCTAAGACTAACAGGACCTAAGCAGCAAAGTAACTTAAACTGATAATGTTTCAGTGCGAGGGCAAAGGGCAAAGGATCACAAGGAAGGAGGGAAGTAATAACTCTGTGCGTTATTCGATAAACCATAAAAGTCGTCAGAGGTTGCACTGAAGGGAACTTTCGTCATACGACTTTGCCTTTCACTGAAGGCAGCACATGAAAACTTTCGTTAATTATATAAAAAAACACTACAGACGAACTGTACATACGCAAACTCAACCGTGACCGCTTAGTGAATACCTTTATATAACGCAGAGCTCCTTCAAGAACAGCTTATTTAGGCGCACTGGATCACCCTTCTGCTCATGTTGCACAGAAACTATATAAGCACGCCACAACTGCATGGTACCTGGTCTCGAAAGAGTAATGCGTTATCTGACAAACGCCGGCGTACGGAAGTACTCTAATGTTTACACCATAGCACACAAAGACTACCAGCTTCTGAAACAGCGCTTATAATGACGGCAATGAGTGTCTTGCCGAACAAAATGATGCGAAGTACATCTAGCACAGCAGGTGTTCAAAAGCCAAGAACATTGGCCCGATAAAATGGCCGCATAGAAAACTAGGAGCAATGGCTCGGCGCATCATCTGACATATAGAGGCGTACAAACACACTTTGAGTTTCATGCAGTCTAAACAAATCACGTAAACATTCACGAGGTCAAAGTTTCACAGTATTCCAAGAAATGAGTAGTGGCTGAACAACTGAAACATTGCTTTAATCCTGGTAAACCTCTCCTAGAAGACACACATGCCACTTTTAAAAGTATTATTGCGAGCACTTCAAACTTTAAAGTGGAGAATGTCTGAAAATTCAAGTTGTTGGCATTTACAACAATACATTGCAAGGCAAATTTGTAATCGTCTAGATATCGCTTTTCCTCACACTTCAATTGATGGCAGTGTCTGGCTTTGGAAATGCAATGACTACCTGGATTCTGGCCTGTTAGCTGGATGCTTACTGATATCCTATCGTTGGTATCACTCCATGGAATCCAGGTACGACGTAGAATCGATCAGAGTGAAACACCCTATCTTCCAAATGTAGTTTTGGCATATGGTGTCAGGAACCGCGTGGATGTCGTAATCGTTTACAACATACAATAATTAAGTAAGTCTGTCGTGGGTAATATCTGCATTCCCATTTTTTAGTGGAGCTAATCGAGATTTCGCTGCAATTAATCCGGATTACCAGATCTTTTATAAATCTAGTATTCACAGATTCTTTTGGAAAACATAACGAGCAATCGTCCTTTACTTTCTCGACTAGTGAAATTCGTTTATCAATCTCAGAAAGATGAAAAGTGAGCGAAATTATATTGAATACAAAATCACGTCAGAATTTTTCGACCATGAGGCTTGCAGTCTACCCATGGAGTTAATGTGTCTATTACACTTTGGAATGGAAGCTTATAACTAAGGCATACTTTTTTCATGCAATGCTGGACCCGTCATTTTCGAATGAACTTTTTCCACTTGCTTTACGTTTCCACGTAACGAATCAACAGCATGCTGCAAAATGGGGGCAAGTACAGGCCAACATTCCTAAATAAAAAATAAACACGCCAGATTTACACTTACACCCACAGTGGAATTTATTATCAAGTTTTCAAGAAAAAAATCACGCCAAGGCATATGTAACAGAAGAACGATAAAAACAGATATCAAGAGTAATAACACCCGTATTTGAAAATCAGTTAGTGAATATTCCTGCTGTATATCAGACTAAGACATGTGTCGTATGTTAAAATGTTAGAAAGGGCTTTAACGCTTTAAGTACCAGAACAGGAAACTATATCATGAAGGGTCGGAAAGAAATTGAGAGCTCAAGACAGAAAAGACACAGCTATCTATGAGTGCAACATACTTTCATATTCCGCCTTCTTGAAAGTGCGATGTAGAGAACCTGAGATCAAAGGCAGGCCAGCTTTCCGCTAGAACAGAATGGAACAGCATGTAAAATGGCGATGTCACCGCCAAAATTTTGGATTCCAGTCAGGAGTGGCCTCTTGTACATTCACAGGCACAAACACTAGGAAAATGCGTATTACTTCGATTGAAGCACACCTAAGATGAATAAAGAACTGCGTATTCATCGAAGCTGGAATAAACCTCCCATGTTTCCTTCTTTCTCAAGAAAATAAACGATTTTTGGTTTTGTACCCCTCAAAAGATAGCCCTTGCTTAGTCAGCTCTCTACGCTTTTCTATGTTCATCTTCCATGACATTACTCCTTTCGAGTCAGTGATGCAGACGAGTCAGACAGTACTTCTAACGTTTCTGATTCTTTGCCAGAGTCTGAGCTTCGACAGAAGACAACAGGTGTCTAAAGCAGACTCCCTCCATATATTTGCACCAGATTCATCATGGTCGCCCCTTTGGCCTTCTGCCGGTCGGCTGTGTAAACGTGTTTGCTTCGCTTTCTTGTCTGGAGGAATTCGCAACTCGTGCCCAAACCAT